CAAAGTTTTTTTCCATATTCCCTGAACTGGTCGTACTTCGGATCTAAAGGCTGGAGCTGCACCGTCTGCTTCTCTAAGGTACATTTGAGTTCTCCAATTGGTTATTTTTGATCCCCTATCAATCCAGGCTTGGAAGAATTGCCAAATGATTTCGAGCGCTAGTTTCGCGCCCGCTACTTTCAGTTCCTCTCCTTTTTTTCGCCTGATCGACATAACGATGTAATTGTTCAAACTGTCCGAATCCCATCTGTAAAGTGCTTCATTTGGATGGTGCACCCATCCGACGGGGCTTCCTTAGTGCGATGCGCTCTCGTCCTGATTCTGATGAGTATCGCCCTCTGTGACATTCTCGTGAATAAGGCTCATGCGTCCTCTTCCCATGACTCTTCGGCCTCGCCATGCGCGCTCAAAGTGTCCCGTTTTTTTTAGAGATTGCAAGTAGACTTTTTCGCCGGGCACCTCGCAATGTAGTCCGTTGTAAACCGACTCTGATCACATTTGAAACCTTTACGGTCCGGTCCACTGCGATCAATTCTTCTCAGTACTCCCCGTCTTCCACTGTGAAATGATCGTCGATAACTACCGCGGATTGCGCTTACTGGTTCCGTTTTTGTCTGAAGTGCCACCGCTGGCGCCGTAGCGAGCCGTTCACTGAAATCTTTGTAAGCTTTGGCGTATTTATGCCCTCGTTCATACGTGGCGTGTAGTGCGATCCGGTAAACCCCATCTGGAGTTTTGGTAGATCGGCAGTGCTCCGTCGGCACCTCCTTGTTATACACAGTAAATACAACCAGTAGTATTGTGCGCTCCAGCGTTCCCAGATCGCATCATGCCCCGCCCGCTTAATACGGAATGAAACATTTCCACTGTCTCGCCGTCCCTCTGTTTTCTAGACAAAAATTGGAATGTTTCGAACGTTTCGTTCCTTTCTTTTTTGAAAACAGTCTCGAACTCGTCCAGTACTCTAGTATTTGCCAAGTATAGATGGGTCTTCTGATTGTGGAGTTCATCCTGCCCCCGATACCCCAAACAAAGATATAAATTATAAATAAGCGTTTGTTCCGCCTCCACGCGACTTTTACATTGCACATCCGCCGGCAGCACCGCAGTTTGAATTGTTGTCAACGTCCGATCGAAATAGAAAGCCGTTGGGTTGAATCCATGCTTTGCCATTACCCCCCAGATAAAACGAGTGATCCGGTGCTCCCATAGTATTGGTACCTCCATGCACTTAATCGGCCAATACGTCGTAATTCCGATTGTTTTTTCCCGTCCCCGCGCCTTATCCTGCTGTTTGCGCCATATGAAAAACAAATAATCGGTGCTTTAATTCTGAATAAATAGATCTCCAACTGCAAATGAAATCATATTAATTCAACTGTTTTAGATAACGAACACTCTCGATATTGAACTGGCAGATACTAAACTAAACAAAGCCAAGATCACAGACAGCACTGATGGCGCCAATAATCAAACTCAACAAACTCAAATTTATTCATTATATGAAATTTAAAAATAGGACATTCCCTCTAGCTTACTAATTTCAAATTATAATTTAAAATTACACAAAACAGAATTCCAATTGAGTTTTAGACCAGTGGTCAACCCTTTCCCTGGGCATAGAGTTTTACAGTTTTAGTTTAACTTTTTCTCCGGTATCCGATGAGACGTCCGAACTTAAGTTGGTACCCCTTGATTGTGCAACACCCCTTCTTTCTCCCCTCCTTGAAAATATTTCTTCACTCCCCCGATTTTCAACTCCGCCGTTCACTTTCTGGAATTTTCGTCCGAAGCTTACCTAGTCTTTTCGCGCGACCCCGTTTCGTCCGAAGCTTACCTAGTCTTTTCTTCCAAAAAAAACTATGCTCATTCAGCTCTTTTTTCTAAGACTTGGGCTAATTTAGCTTCTTCTGAAACAAATTGGGCTCTTACATCTCCCTATGCTAAATATTGCTCTTATTCAATTCCTTTTAAAAAAAAATGTTGTCATTCAGCCGCATACTGAGAAATTGGGGGCCAAAAAAAGGGCTCCTTTTGCTAAAATTTAGGACTCATTCAGCTCGTTTTTCTTTTATAAAAATTGGTTATTCAGCATCCTCGATAACCTAAATCTTGTCGGCTTTTAATATTTTTATGTAGCACCATATAGAAATCCAAACGAAACGTTTAATTTAGAACTCAATGAAAAACACTCCATTTATGGTGCTATTTTGAAAGAATTTGCCGAATGGTGCTTATGTCATTCTGTTCGCATTATGAAGAAAAGTTTCAAAGTTTTAGAGTATAATCGCACAGTAATGTAACACCTCCTACAAACTTTGTACTGCAAGAGGCTGAGTTCTGAAGAATGAAATACTGAAACTCTGCATTATAGAGCTTGTGAGCCGTGGCCCGAATTTTGCCGGTAGCTTCTCAGTTTCTAAGAAAAATCAGGGATCTTGTTAACTATCCCCTACCCTGTGGTGCCTAGTAGTGAATTGCCACCAATACAAAATTAATTCATTGGTTAAACAAATGTGTATTTTTCACATGAAACGAATGACTCCCCACCCCACTCATTACGAGGCCAAACTGTGCACTGGGTAGGCGCAAAATTTTGTGTCTGTATGTTCCTGGAATCCAGAGACAAGCCTTTTAACATGTTAAAATTTTGTCGGAACAACCAAAGGAAATGAAAGAACAAAAAAAGAACAAATGGAGCGTCCATGTTGCGATATCCGCTTACAATTCACAAAATGCGGAGTTGGACTTGCAATGCTTTGCTTTCGCAAAATAGATAAAAATCAACGATATCCAAAACCAGAATCCAAAATTTGGTGATTTATTATTTCTATACTTCTTCTTTTTGTATCTCAAAAGATAGCTGAGGGGGCCTTCACCTGGGCTTTTACAGTACTACATTTTTGATAAACTTATAACCGTGATTTGCTGTTTGACATCAGACCGAGTTAATAATAACCAAGTTTTTATAAATCACACTGGGTTTAATGAATTTCAAGTATAACAGTTTTATAATAAGTTTGAATATCTTATTGGAAAGGTTCATTTACAACATGTTTCTTTATCAATGTAAACGTTTTCTATTGTGAAAGTTTTTCAAAGCGACAGACGACAATTCGTCGCAAGCGACAATTGGTCGCAAGCGATAACTCGCAGATATTTTCAAATGCGACAGTTCGCACCAAGCGTCAATTCTTAGCAAGCGACACTTAGCACCACAAATAAATGCTAATTCGGGATTGAAAAATGATGCGATTTGAGCAAAATCTTTTTCGCTGGTTTTAAATGAGTTAAAATTCAGATAGCGAACAAAATATTCTGTTTAGCACCAGTTATGAATTGAATACGAAATTGAAATGAATTAACAGTAAAAGTGAGAGTAATTAAACGATAGTAGCATCCAAAACTGATAAGATATCGGACGAAACCTTGGAAAGTTTGGAAAGCAACACAGTCTGGCATGCAGATGGGGCCTTGAAAATTTGTCGCGAGTTACCTATCAAAATTTTACCATGCTGTGGTTAACGATCAAACTGTTCCATTAGTTTTGCTTTTCTTCAAAAAAAGTAAAGAGCGATACATCGGGGCCTGCAGACAAGTGAAAGAAATGATCCAGGACTTGAGCCATGTCAGATTGTCGCAGGTTTCAGAAAACAGAAAATCAACAATTCGTCCGAGGAATGGCATAGGGTCTTCCAGATGGGATGGGATGTGCTCACCCTACCCTGAACATATTTATTCATTTCCTTCGGAGAAAAAAATTCTGTCGGAGAACAAAATGGCTCAAATATTTACCGCTACTAATTGTCGCATGTTACGAGTCGTCACGTGCTGCGAATTGTAGCTTTTCACAAAAGCAACGAATAGTCGCTGTCGACGGATTGTCGCCATGCTTTTTCAGACGTTGTTTTTTTTATGAATTCACAAAAAGAAATACAAAATGACAATTTGTATATGAGTTTGAATTTTTCACCTCATCAGTAGTACTTTTTTCACAGAAACAATTAAACAAAGATCAAAAATAAAAAGATAGATCAACCCGTGACTCAAAATTTTAATCAAACAAACCATTCATTATCGCATGCCTTTCTTTGCAGAATAAAGGTCACAAACTCAAACCAATTTTGCAAATTGTCTTATTTGTTCTTTTTAGAACTCTTGGGCTAATCCTTGGTGGAGTAAAAACTCAAACAAGCAGCTAACTGCTTTGCAGTTTTTGATGATGAATTAGTTTCTTAGGATGGATGCTGTGTTTTTGACAACTGGCGTTTTTCTAACTAATCGGAAGCTCGGCAAAACGTGCACAGATTTCAGTTTAAAAAAATTTTTGAAAAAGACTCTTCAAAAAATCATCTCGGTTTCTATAAAAGTGATTTAAAGCCGTTCACAATCCTTGAGTTTTCCATAATAATAATCCGTCTTTTGCCTACCAAATAAATCCGAGTGTCCGTTGATGTCCAGATATGAAACAGCTAATTTGAAGTTGGTGTGCATGTTATAGTAGTAGCCAGATGTAAATTCCACAAAACCAGATCTGTATGTGAAAACGAATGGAACGGATGACTCACTACCAGAGGTCAACATAGTCCACTTCTAACAAAACACAAATGAATGTTTCAAAGATCAAGCCACAACTGAAATTCATCATTGATTAGCATATTAGATCGTTGATGCGAATCAGTGAGTTCGCAATTCCCTAACCAAACATGCACCGCAGGTGAATTCGTTAAATAAAACTTTAGTTTTTGCGCGTTTTCGAACCAAAAATCCAAAACCACCCCCTTCACCATGAAATAATCACCCCTCAAAAAATCCCCCCAGTAAGAAATCACAGCCTCAAATGTTCCGACCACAAAGTTCCGTTTAGTTGTAGCCCATTTTCACGTTGTTTTAATGTTGTTAACCAAATGTTTTGAAATAAATTGGCGTGAAACGTAATTGTTTCATTAATGAGAAAAGGCCATATATGAACCAAACACACCACGACATTCTGCTGTCCGTCGCCAATCACAATCGTATCAATCTCCTGCTCTTCCAGTATTTCAGAGGCCACGCCCAAATCCATCTGCACCATCTGCAGAACGGGGAACAGGGTGGGGTTGTTGGAATCGGGGGAGATGGTCCATCTGCAGGACAGACCAGTCGGGTAGATGTGGGGGAAGTTGTAGCTCAGAAGGTCACCGGCAGACGACACAGTCTAGAAGAGAAAGATGGTTTCTTCTAAATTTAAAATACTTTCTTCTGAAAAGGAGACTTTATATCACTGGGAAAAGAAACATTTTTAAGGCCTGGTTTGAAGCTCGTCAGTCCGCAAAACGACAAAATTGCAATATTTTATCAGCTTACTGCAAAAATAAGGCAAAAGGAAAATCACTTTTTTGCTTGCTTCCTGACGACTATCAAACGATGGTAGGTAGCTGTTTCGACCAAGTAAGGCAAGGACAAAACAAAAATTGAAAGCAAAGTACTATTGACTTCATGATCTTAGAAAAAAATATTATTTGAAGAATGATTTTAAACTCTTTACTCTAAAATTTTTATAGAAAGCAAAACTTTGAACGGATTTACTCGTTTTCGAAATTTTTTTGAAACTCTCATTACGAGGCCAAAATGTGCACTGGATAGGCGCACAGTTTTGTGTCTGCATGATGCTGGATTGCAGAGACAAGTCTTTAAACATGGTTAAAATTTTGTCGGAACGATCAAAGGAAAGTAAAGAACGAAAGAAGAACAAAGGGAGCGTCCTTGTTGCGGAATCCGCTTACAATGCACAAAATGCACAGTTTGGCCTCGTAATGCTGAAAATCATCCTTTGATGTTTAATAATAAACAGTAAACTAGAGCTTACGATTCCATTTGTCATATCACATGCTTTGTTTTGAGCTATGTTCTCATACGGAGGACACAGGGCTAAAACACAAAAAAAAAAAACACGAATAGAAATTTTGGTATAATTATCATGGACAAGCTTTTCGTCTGACTAAAAAACGTAAATTTGTCTTGAATAGTGCGGTAGGTTTACATTGCCATAAAGTCATAGAAAAACTCAAAACCGACTGAAACAAAAGAAATAATAACAAATCTTATATATTGCCGCAGGGGCGGATCTAGGATTTTCTCGAGGAGGCGGATTATCAAAATTTTTTTGAAAGTTTCGACGACCTTTTTTAGGTAGACCAAAGTCAATTTCTGCGCTCTCTCAAGGAATTAAAAAGAACCTGTTTCGGTCAATTTTTGCACCGCAGGCAAAATTCTGAAAAACAAGCCAAAAATGAGTTTTTTTTGGCGCGCACTCCATCCTTAAAATTAGTATACATTGGGTTGGTCGGCCACAAAATGGACTTTCTTATAAAGTACAAAAGGGTATGACAAATAAAACCCCCCTTCCCCCTCCCCGGCTTCGACTTTTTTTTCGACGTTTTTTTTCTAAGCTCTCCTAAATCACAATAAAGACTTGTGATCACGTATTTGAAGCAATTTTTGAAATTTTTTTTAATATATTTTAGTTAATTGGAAAAAAAAAACATATTTTTCAACCCCCCTCTCAAATATAGTATATATTGGGTCCATAGGTGACTTCAGATCATTTTTGGGGTCGGTTATCGGCTATTAAAAATAAAGTTAAAGGTAAATTGTCTTAGTTTTTCCCAGTTTTTATAGATTTAAGTTTTGCGGATCAACATGGGTTATTCAGTTTGATAAACTAAATTTCAAAACTGTTTCTATCACAAATAACTTTTATGAATCGTTGATTCAATGAAGATCCAATGTTTGTGAGTAATGTGCCGCAAATTAGTAAGACTCAATGTTTCATTAAAATAACCTTAACCAATATTTAATATAACAAAAAACTTTATTTTAACAAAAAACCGCCTCTTTATTAGCATGGATATCCAATGAATAACCAATGTTTATGTGTTTTGAAACAGAATTTAGCAAGAATCTATGTTTCATATAAAAATACTCCGGGTTGAAGTCCATACAAAAAGTTGCTTGCCATACAGTTTTTTTTACGCTTGTCATACCCTTTTCTTCTACGAAGATTGCATGATCAGCATTTTTGGCGAGCATGAGAGTTACATTAGAGCAACTTTATCTTCATAACAAACTTTTTGAACAACAACATGCTAACCTTTTTTTTCATGTATGAAAATGGCATGATATCCATTTTTTCATAGAAAGAAAAAGAAGTTTGAAAAAAAAGTTTTTGATTCCTTATTTGATTGCAAACTTGCTTCGGTGCTCAGATACACATTTTACGAATCGGTAAGTTGCATGCAAAAATTGACATTTATGTCCATAACGTAGTCCAGGTAGAGTTGCTTACCCCAAAAATCCAAAAACCACAAGCAAATAATTTTTTAGTGTTCATGTGCGAAGACAATCATAAGCAAAAAAAATCAGCTGTCTTTTATCACCCAATAAAATTTTCAAAGTATAAAATTCCGAGCCGTATACAAAAAGTTTTGTTTTCGGCACATAATTCTGAGTGATAATGTTAGCATTAACATACATGGCTGTTATCAAGAGCTGCACAGTTTCTGCGTGGTAACTGCCAGTTTCACTCTGGATTTTTTTATGATAGAAAATCTTTGGTTAGTATGTTTCGGATGAAACACAAAGTTTCAATACAGTTTTTTTTGTTTTTAATTTATCGAAAAAGTGTTTGTTATGTAATATTTCATAGCATTGAAAAAATGCTATAGTTTGTTATTTTCATGGATTTTTTCTGATAATAAAGGAGGCAAAAAGCCTGTTATTTAGTTCCAGAATAAGGCAAAAAATACTTATAATAAAATTTCATAGCACAAGAAAAATGTTTAATTTGCTCTTTTCGCACAATTTTTTCAGTCCATGAAATTTTATGAAACTGCATGGTAAGCTTTTTGTCAACCCGGGCGTAATCAATATTTTTTAATAAAAAACATAGTTTAATGAAACAATGTTATAGTTTAGCAGCATGAATATTCAACGAATATCCAATGTCTGTGTGTAATGAACCTGAATTGAGTTCTCAAGTTTGAACTAGTCATTGCGTGTACTGACCTAGCGTAGACTAAAAGGCAGTTGGGACGGAATTGGTTAGCTTACGGAAGGAAGACCGAGCATTCAGGGATTTGTCCTCACACGAGCAGCATAAAAAAATCTCAGATTTGGCACTGCATGTAAAGCGGAAAAAATCAAAAAGTTCAAAAAGTAACTATCATTTTATATTATAACCTGTTTGAATATTTTATTTTGACAAACACTTTTTGCCCACTTGAACAATTCAATTTATTGAGCATTTGAACAATTCAATTGATTGACCACCTGAATAATTAAAGAATTTGTGTTGATAGGAGCAGTGATAATATTTAAAATATGCTGCTTATTATTCGACCTTTCATATAAAGAATGTTGCAACCACTCGAAGAAGTCCCTCAATAATTCGCTCCAGGGCCACCCAAAGGGACTGCTGTTGTTTTAAGAAATTCATCTTTTTGATTGACGGCGTCAATATATAGTAATTTTGAGGAGGAAGTGCTCGTCAATTTTAAAAATTATTTTTTTTTGTTTCTTTTTTTCGGCCAAACCTTTCCAAAAATGCCTAAGATTTCGTTTTTTGTCGTTTTGTTTTTGATAAATTCCCTCTCGAGAGTACTCCTCAGTGTGAATTAAAATCTGGCTGATACACCTGTTTAAAACTTGTCATACTCACCCTCGTCGTCAGTAGCGAAGAACTCTGTGTACAAACCAGAGTATCCACCCTTCTCTCCTGGTCCACTTACTAACTCTAAATTCAGATAAAAGTCCTGATCTGCACCGAAGTTGGGGTTCTTCACACAGAATGAGATGGTAGGCGATGGCATGTTCTCATAGTTGCCACATAGTCGGAAATGGATAGTCGGTTGTGATTGGCTGTAAACTCGGAAGTAGTCTTGTAAGTCGCATCTGATTTGTAGGTTGTGAATCGTGACGTAATAACTCTTGGAGTCCTGTTAACAGTTTTACATTGAGTTTTTTCATGAAAAATATCATATTTCCCTAGTTACTTTTAGAAAAAACAGCTGGAATTTTTTGTTTGTAGTGCAACTTCCCAGAGCCGAAGTCCGCGACTGAAAGATTGCATAGTCGTAACCGGGTTTTAAGACACGAAAATCGTAAGCGTGGTCGCGGAAGTCTGAACATAAAGTCGATAAAGTCGCAAAGATCCGGAAAGTTGCCAAAGTTTAGAAATGAAGTCACGAAGGTCCAAAAAGTTACCAAAAAGTGGACATAAAGTCGCGAAGATCTGAAGAGTAGTCAAAGTCTGGATACGAAGTCGCGACAGTCCAAAAAACCGGCAAAGTCTGGAGTTGAAGTCGCGAAGATCCGGAAAACTGCCAAAGTGTGGAGATAATGTTCAATACCAGCGCGAATTTAAAATTGTATACAAGCTTGTAAAAAACAGATCTCAGACAGAATTTCGATAATCATAAATCAATTGAACAATTTTATAAGAAACTTTTCAAAACTTTTCAAAATTAGGCCCGCATCGTATTTTCCGGAAGAAGAAAAACAATCCTCTTTCAAAATACTTTAACATTCTGAATGATGACTTCTGCTACTGAAGCTCATACTTTTTTCGATATCTGACAAAAAAGGTGCGGACGAATGCGAAAGTTGCGACGGTCGCACCATTGGTCATGGTCGATATTGTTCGCGCCGTTCGCTCCTCTTTTTGTCTGGTCTCGTCGGTGGCGTGGTCTCTGCCCTAACCGCGAAGACATAACGAATGTCGGTCACGATATCTGATTGTGCTGTGACCACACTGTTCGCATAAATCACGGAGGATCTGTTTGGTTGGAAAAGTCTGGAAACGCCCACGTTTATTCGCCAAAAATTGGACAAAACGAAAATCGGACAAACAATTTGTCGCGAAATTATGGACGGGCCAAAAAGTGTGGTCACAAAGGTCCGGATATAAAATGAGGACAAGGTCCGGACATAAGCCGAGTCTTTTTATTTAATCGTTGTTTTTGTTTTGTGGGCGACTGATTTTTTAAAAATACTCATTTTCTCAAAAAATTTAGAATTCTTGCTTTTATAGTCACTGATGAGCTGCAGGTGTAGTCTTCAGGGTAGGGGTTGTTGTTGTTGTACTCCACATGGGAGAAGTGCAATCCATTTTTCATTTGGACACTAAGCTGTAAACAAACATCTTTACCGGATAAACTTGAAAAAAAAAGTTAAAGAAGATTAACATGAATTTCAATAAAATAATGCTTTGAATTATTTGTATTAAACATTTTTTTTTCTTTTCTTTTTCCCACTTCTCAAAAAAGTGAAAGCATCGCTTGCAGAACTTAATTTCAAACAACACAAAAAATATGAAAAAAATGGCAAGAAAACAAACTGTTCTTTGCATTACATGCATTTAGAACAAAAAATATTTGTTTTGTTTTTTTTGTTTTTTTTTTTAATAGAAAAAACAGATTTTGTATCACTTAATTTAACAAAAAAAGTAATTTTGTACTTGCTTAACCTGAAAACACATAAAAAAAATTGTTAATAAGATATCGTTCGAATTTCATACTTTAGAAAAATTGACAAGGGGAGATCAAGATCAGATGCTGTAGAAAAATTTTAAGCGCTCGAAAGTTCTATAAACTTTATTGCAAAATCTTACCGGTACAAAAATGAAAATTTGAAAAAAAATCTCTGGTATTTCATGAAAAACTAACAATAAAAATGGGTCGAAAAACTAATGATCTATAAACTTTTTTCTTACTTAAACAAGAACTGTCTTGTTTTATTGAGTTATGTTCGAGATGCAACTCAGAGAGTAATTTCGGATAGGGTACACCGTCTGCTCGTCACGCTATCTTATTTTTGGCCGGATAGATTCATGCAACTCCTTGGTCTAATACCGATCTTAATCTTACTCTTATATCTACTAGTCTCAGGGTGTTTAACTAGTCTCTGCTAGGCTCAATAGATCTAGAGTATACTGGCTTATTGCGATTGCTAAAAGGTCTCTTGGAGAGGTAACTAATTTCTAAGTTAAATTCAAATCTCTCTGGTGCTGAAATTACAAGTAATTTCAGCACTTACAAATAAGTGGGTTGTTAGTTAGATGGATCATGATTGGTTAATATTAAATATTTTATAGTGATAAAATATCTAATTTATAACCAATAATAAAATATAGTTTAGATCTGGTTCCACCCATCCGGGGTTTACAGAGTTTTTGAATCTTGTATCTTCTATCTGATTGAAGGATGGATTATGATTGTTGGTATTTGGCGAGCATCATTTCTTGTTTCGTTCTTGGAGACGAAAGCTCCAGAAAGCTGGAATCGTCCATAGGAAGTTGTTAGCTCTCGTTCGACAAAGACTATGACCGCCAGCGAAATCAGTCTGATTTCAAGATGGTTTGTTTTGATCGGTTGTGGCAAACTATTTTTCGATCTGGATTGGGAATGGCGTGAAACTCGAGTTTGGAGGAAATGCCTTGTAACTCGGAGCTGTAAGTATACTTGAACATCGAGGTGGTCATTGGTCTGATTCAATAAAGTCCTTTCTGCGAAGTCAAGTCGTACTCTATATCCTTTTTGAGTCGTGATTGTGGGAGGCATGTCGGTTGTGTTTAGCCATTCTGTAAGTTGAGTGTGATGGGGTCGTCTAATCTTTGGATGCTCGTCTTTGTGGTTGTGTGCGATCTATGTACTGCATATTATACTTTACATTTTATAAAATTTTGTTAATTCAATTTTTAGTTGTGATTTTGGTTAATTGTTTTCGCAAAAGTGTATTAGTTTTAGTTCAGTTATTTTTAAAAGTTACTCACCCTTGAGTACCTCTAGTCAAAAACATAGTGTAGTCACAAAGCGTGGATGTAGCACGGTGGGTTAGGCCGGCTATAGAGCATGCTCAAGACGTCCTCTCTGATGGGTTAGGCCAGGAGTGGGATTATGAATTCATGCTGGTTTTTTAAGGGGTCCTGTTTTGTGCAAATTTTTTATGTTATATTATTTCTGGTTTTTCTTTTGTTACTTTGGTTGTGTCCTTTTCTCAAAAATCAAATTGTTTTTGGTTTGGGTTTAACTTGCGACTTTTTGGTGTTTTATGATTTTTTTAGACTTGGTAGTAGCCTTCAAAAGAATAAATTATCCAGTTTTAAGCTGGTTTAATCGGTTTGGGTACCGTAGGTAATCTTTTCTTAGTCAAGCTGTTAGTTTGTGGTTTATGGTGTTAAGTTAGCTGCGTTGGTTAGTTTGGTTATTATATAATTCCATTCCAACCGGGTTAAAGGAAAGTTGGAAACTTGTTATCGTTTGTTTAAGTTGTTGTTAGTGAAAACTTAAAACTTGAATTCATTATTTTAAACAATTCTTTGTGGGCGAGTTGTGCGATTTTGGATAGAACTCTTGTGCGGGTGAACAGAAGATATATAAAAGGTTAGTTCTGCTTTTTCTCTGTATTTACTTATTACTTTAAGATTTGATTTTACTGCTTTGTAGGGGTCTAAAGTTATAAACTGATTATCATCGTATTTAATTTTACTACATTTAGGGAAATAATTTATAGATAAATTTATTACTTTGAATTTGAGTTTTACTGCATCATTTAGTGCTGTAGGTTTAATAGAGTTTATTATGAAAAAGAGAGTTAGTATTTTTATTTGTTTTTTCTTGTTTGTAGGTGATCGTGGTTTGAAGACTAAAGAAAACGTAAATTATATAAAGAATGGTTAGGTTTATTTTAAAATAGTTAGTTTTAAAATACTAAATTCATGCTTACCTTAGTCGTCGGGAAAGAAGCCACGAGGAAAAACATCGTGAATAGCATCTGATCTGGTTAGTAACTTTGCTAGTATGCGTATGATGTTTTTAGTTTGGAGCAGTGGCCAAAGCAATTGAAGTGCTTTTATGGTTTTTAGTTCTTCGGTACCTACTGCAAATTTGTGAGGTGTGTTCTGAATTGATTATACTTTTTGTGATTGTATTTAGTGTTGTGGATGAATTCTAAAATGGATTTTTCTATAGGTTGAATATATTCATGCGGAACTATTAGGGGTCGGGATTCTTCTTTGTTGAAGGTCTTGGTGAGGGGACAAAACATATACATCTGGGTGATTGGGTCATAATTCCGGAGGATGCCTTGAAGGTTAGTATTTTTAATACAAAACGTGAAATTTAGGAAAAACGGTGAGGTGTATTTAGAATTGATGAATTGAAATCTGTGGTGGGGTTGTCATGATGGTGTGTATAAATGAAAATTATTCTGGATAAAACGATAATAAGTGTAGGTGTGTGTTTGTTTAGTTCTCAACATGATATCGTGTGAACAGTTCAAACCACGTTCTTTTGGTGTGAGGAAATGAAAGGTTAGTGAAAATGTTTGAAATGATTCGTATGCTTGAATATCTGATAATGCTTCTGAAATAATGTGATCATGCTTTTTATCTAGTATGCTAAATGTGAATAAGTAGGGTGTTTTGATGAAAAAATTTTCTGTTAATTGTGGGTTTGCAAATTGATCGTCGTCAAGAAATTGGTCTTGATTAGATCTGATGATGTTATGATCATAATCTTCAATTGAATAGTCGTTAGCTCGGGGTGCAGTGAATGTTTTTAGTAACTTTTTGTATACTACCTATGTAAATTGTCGGGGTGTTAATGTCGTGGTTAGCCTAAATAATTCTTTTTTTTTCTTTCAATATCTTTTGTGGTATTAAGGAGTGGTAGCGTAAGGGGGTTAGTAAAACTGTAATAGGCTGTCCAATGAAGTTTGGGTATTA